GCGCACGTGGCGGCTTTGGGACCCCGGCTTCGGAGGGCTTTGCAAAGGGAAAGTAAGAAGTTCGCGTCGGTGGGGGAAATGCTGGCCCTGTTACTAAGATTCGGAACTGCACCTCCCCGCCCAGGAGTGGGAAGTTAAGCGGGCGGGCTGCAAAAGGCAGCTGCCGAGGAGCAGACAGCCCCGCAAGCAGTTTCCGCAGCCACAAGGAGTTGGAGAAGCTCTGGACGGCCAGCGCCACCCTCCGCAACCCGCCGGTTTTTAAGGATGGAGTCACCCAAGGCTGTTTCCGATCAAGCTGACTTGACAACAATTAAGAAAGTTTTTAATTAGCTTCTTGTTATCATTCATTTTATTAATTTCCAGAACTCTCAGGCCACGAATTATTCAGAAGGCAAGCCAACCTGAGTGGGGTGGCCGCGCGTCCGCGTCGCACGTGCCCGGCTGGACTGCGGCCGTGTTGCGCGCCTCAAGTCGCAGAGGCGCGAAGGTTTGATCAAATATTAAATAACGTAATTATTGCGACAAGGCTTATCTCGCAGGTGAAAGAGAGGCCCCCACGAGAACTTGATTTCAGCAGCTTAAAAAAAAAATCAATTAGGCTGGTGGCCCCTTTTGAAACAGCCAACGAGGTTTATGTGGCTCTTCCCGTGTGGCTAAGAATGGTGTCGCAATGATAGTGATGGTAGAACATTAGCCAGTGTAATTGTGGTCGTCACCTCCCCTCTGGCCATCAAGACCCATAGAGTAAGGTTGGAAAACCCGGTTTTTAGCCCGTCTAAAGCTCTTGTTTATACTTGAAACACTAAATAAGAAAAGCCCACCCTTTTGCAAGATGGAATAGAGGTGTTTGGGCAACTGGCAGTCAAGTGGAAAGGCCAAGGCACAATAAAGGTGAATGGGAGCCTAAGACTGGGGCTTAACACCCCCAGAGTCTTGCTCTGGGTCCTCCTGCGAGACCAAGTATAAGAACTGGACCCACGCAATCTTATCATCACAAGAAAGCAAAAACCGATACAATCACGGCAGTGGGTGCCTAAGGTTTATTTAACAGCTTATAATTGAGGTTGAGAGTAATTTCAGAACACGCATAAGACAAAAATCTATCCAGAAGTTAGCTGATGGATGCTGAGGCCATCCTTTGTTAGATCTACAGAAAAAGCAGAACCTCACGAAGAGTTCGGAGAGCAGTTTTAAGAGGAAGGTAGCATTACTGTGGCAGGTGCTTTTAATGCATATTTTCTCTTTCCCTTTGCTGCTGCGTGTGTTGAGAATCTAAAACAGAATCAGAGCCTAGTTCTCCTTACCCTCTGAAACTTGTGTTCTTTAGGATTTCAGAATCACACATTTTTATTTCCACCCGCTAGCAGATGCAGGAGAAAATCCCCTTAGGATAAATGCTGGACTTTCGGAACTTTGAAAACCAAAACAACCACAGATCAGCAAACCTTTGACATCTCTTCAGGAGTTTTGATTTAAAATTTTCCGTGGGCTGAGGGTTAAAAGAAACACATAAGAGTCGTATAATCCCTTCCTGCCATATATACATCCACTCGCCAGAAAGCAAAACTTTTTTTTGTTTTGCTTTGCACGGTTTCCTACTACATAAAACAGGAAACCCTGCAAAGCAATGCGTTTTCATGATGTTTTATTAACATAATACTCTTTCTTTTTGTACTGGGCAAGGATTTACTTAATACAAAACAAATGCTTAAATTTTCAATACATACATTATCCATTATTATATAATACAAATGTGTATGCCTGCACATTTCTGTTGGAGCAGATTATTAGAAAAACAACCTTTGTAAATCTTTTTATTTGTTCATTCCTGGATCTCCAACAATGAAATCTGGTCATACTTTTCTATAAAATAATGTGATCTTTTACAAATGTATTTTATTAGAAACTCTGATGATATTTCAAGGCAATAACAGAAACAAATCAATTTTGATGGAAGAGATCTATTTTTAAAAATACCTCTAGTGTTTTTTTTTAAAATATTAACAACTGTTTAAAATCACACCTTTTTAAAATGTACTATTCTTTTCTGAACATCACTTTTCTTTCACAGATATGCCGGTGAAATTAAAAAGATTTAGCTAAAATAGGATGACTTTAGAGGATATAGTCCCAGCTACTAAGAAAGTTTGTACATTTGGCATTTGATCTAGTCCCAGGTCACCAAAAATAGAGAATTTCTTCTCGTTCTGGAGCAATAAGTGGTATGCAAAATGTTCTAAATGAAGAGAAGCATTTGACAAGTTATCTAGACAAATCAAAGGATAATTTTAAAATTTATTAACTGTCAACGAAAAGTCATTTAGTTACAACATTTTTTAGAAGTGTTTTTGAGTAGGACAGCACATTCACACCCCAGATGTCTGCGTCCCTGACCTTCAACCTAAATGCTTTTCAGGTGCCTGGTTACTCACAACTTCTCATCACCACTCCAAGCAGAGTGCTGTGACTTGAGTTCTGTAATTAAAATTAAAAAATTGATTTAAAAAATGAGCAAGTAATTCATTTTACTCAGAGCACCAGTTTTCTGAAAGCTAATTCTGATGTAGAAAAAAAAACTATCTCATGATCCTGTCACTTATTTTGATGTCCCTTTCTTCTCCCTTCTTGTTTGTTTTTAATTTGTTTGGCTAAGGTTTTATTTATTTGCTTTTTGGTTGGTTTGGTTTTTTTTTTTTTTTTTTGGTTGTTGTGTCTCATTTGTTGAACAGCTCTACCAGGACTTGGCTCAATGTAAACACAAAAATGCACCCGAATCATAAAACTGCTCTTCTTTCAGTTATGTTTTATTTGTAAGTGTACTGGGACACATCTCCCTGTTGTATGTTGGCGTACAGAAATGGTTCTGATGGGGGGGGCGGGGAGGAAGCAAAGCCACAACCAAGGAGAAAGCTCTGCAGACGTAGCGTGGACAGGAGGATCAGTTAGTGAGACATTGCAGGATTAACACTGGCAGTTTGTAACCACTGTGTGAGCCTGTGCACGAAAGAAAATATTTACAATAATGTTGTGTTCTCCGTGGAGACAGGCAGTAGACTGTGAAATCACACTATCCACAAAAAAAAGGTCTACCAGAAAGCTAGCCCACTTTAGTGCCCAGTTTCAAATGCATAGAATGTTTGTGCTGCAAACAATGATATACAACATAATTAATTAAAACAGCGCCTAAGCAGAGTGAGACCTAATCGTATTTCTTTCTGCACCTTTCAAATCATGCATGATTTCAGTCTTGTCAATCAGTCGTGTTCCCCCCCCCTCATTTGTTCTGTTTTCACCTTTACTAATGGTTAAATGATAGTAACAAACCATCTCCACATGAGATCCAAATAATATCTTGTGCACAAAGCAGGAGTTTCACCAAACCACCTTCACTCTCTATCTCATTTTTTTTTTTAAATCCATCAGCAGTTTGGATTGTTAGTATGAAATACCATACATAATCTTCTATTTTGGGAACTCATAGTGCAAATTAAAGTTTTTGCAACTCAACATTTATGCCCTGTAATAAATGATCCTTGAACAACAGCAACAAGAAGAAGAAGAAGAAGAAAACAAGCACCCTGCTTCCCCCGGGAAGTGCAGACCTATCTGAAACAACCAGGGCGAGGAGAGGGTCTTTAAGTCTTTAAATGTCTTCCTCTCTTCTGGGATTTTAGGTGATCTGACAGCCAACTTCTGCCCCCAAATGAAAGCAGAAACTTCTGAGCTTTTCAACCACTTCATGATCTCCAAGAGGGGGGAGAAAGGGGACCTGGAAAAAGTAAGATGACTCATATTCCGTGGAGAAAACTGGAAACGGGAGGCAGTTCCTCTCCTAAGGTTTGTCATCCTATCATTCTGTTTAAATTAATGGCAACCGAGTGTCAGCGGATAGTTTGAATCCGGACTGAAAAGCAAAGGGCCAGCTAAGGTAAAGTTTTGTAAGTGGGGCTGAGAGGGAAAAAATATTTTCAGATAATCTGTTCATGGATACAGGAACAAAAATGAAAAAAGAAAGATTATACTGTAGTCATTATTAATTATCTCGGGGTAAAACATTTATTTCAGAGCGCTTAATTCTGTTTTTTAGACTCTCGTCGCCTAAAGAGTCTCACCTGACCAACACTAGGCCTCAGGACTTTGGCCATCGGGCTCCTGGAAAAAGAAGGTTCAGTGTAAGAAACCAGCCGGCCTCCCAAGCCCCTTTGAGCTAGGCTCCAGCGCCTTCCTGAGCTGAAGCAAAGCCTTGAAATCTCTTTGGAAAAAGAAATAAATCAAAGAGGGTATGGCTGGATGGGTGTGAGATTTTAGAAGGGCAAATTAAACACCGAACAGCTAGTTTCCTACCCAGAATTTCACGCTCTGGCTTGTTTGGTTTTCATCTATGACTCACTTGTGTGTGCGGAGTTGGGGCGATGGTAGAAATGCTCTTTTCCTTTGGGGCAAATGAAGCTGCAGAATGCTGCCCCCTCCCCCGGACTTCAGTTTCTAAAGCATCTTTCTTTGTCTCTCCCCACCCCTTCTTTATTTGTCTAGGGTTTTATGTTTTGTTCTGTTTTGTTGGTGGTGGTTGGTAGTTTTGTCTTTGTACATAGTTCCTTGGTCCCCAGATGATTTTGATAAGTGTCTCTGGTCAAGAAAACGGTTCGTTCCCAGTTCTTTCCCCATCTTTCCCCCCACCCTAGTACCCAGAACCATCCTGCTCCTCCAAACCCCCAGCTCTAGCCTTTGCTTTTCTTCCCTCCCACCACGCCCTGCTCACCCAAATGCCCCCCAATTCTCTCCTGTCATCCCATACTTTCTCCACATCCAACACCCCTGGTCCTCTGGGCTGGGGGACGGCTGGGGCAGGGTGCAGAGTGGGGCTGAAGATATGGGGAGAAAAGGGCCTCCCCAAATGCAGGCAGGATAACGGACACTCTAAATGAGGGGAAGTAGGCCAGAGGAGAAGAAACACACCCCTCAGCTCCCCAGTCTGCCCCACCCGGCACCTCACACCCTTCTCAATAAGTGGCAGAGAATTTCATCCGCTTCTGCTTCTGTCTCTGGTTGCAAAACCACACCCGCACCACGTTCTTTTTGAGGTCCAGTTTCTCGGCGATGGCGGCGATCTTCTCCGACGAGGGCCGGGGTTGTACGGCAAAGTAGGCCTCGAGGGAGCGCTTCTCCGGCGCGGCGATGGAAGTCCGCTTGCGCTTCTTCTCGCCGCCGTTGAAGAGCTCGGGCTTGTTCATTTTCTCACGCTGTGCGCCCTCGGCCTCCTCCAGCCACGCCTGCAGGATGGGCTTGAGCGCGATCATGTTGTTGTGCGAGAGCGTGAGCGACTCGAACCTGCAGATGGTGCTCTGGCTGAGTGAGCCCACGCCCGGGATCTTGAGGTTGGCCAGCGCCGAGCCCACGTCGGCCTGCGTCACACCCAGCTTGATGCGCCGCTGCTTGAAGCGCTCGGCGAACGCCTCGAGCTCGCGCGGGTCCGTGTCCGAGTCGCAGATGGACGCCAGGCCCGCCGCGCCCACCACCGCCGCCGCCGCCGACGCGGCTGCCACCTGCCCGGCCGCCGCCGCTGCCGCCGCCGCCGCCGCGCCGTGGTGAGCGGCCGCGGCCACCAGCCCGGGGTGCGGCAGCCCGGACGGCATGTTCATGGCGGCCGCGGCCGCCGGGTGCGACAGGTGGCCCAGGCCGTGCATGTGCGGGTGCGGATGCGCCGAGCCGCCCAAGAGCCCGCCGCCCGGGCCGCCGCCGCCACCCGGGCCACCGCCGCCGCCGCCACCCCCGGGGCCGCCGCCACCAGGGCCACCGCCGCCCCCCGGGCCGCCTCCGCCCCCAGGGCCGTCGTGGGCGCCGCCGCCACCGCCCGCTGCGCCCGCGCCACCCGCGCCGGCCATGAGAGCAAGCGACGGCGACGAGATGTGGTCCAGCAGATCGCCGGGCTCGAGCGCCTGGTGGTGATGGTGGTGGTGGTGGTGGTGCGCCAGTGGCACGGTGGACGTGGACGTGCAGGGCACGCTATTCATCGTGTGGTACGTGGCGTCCGGCTTGAAAGGGTGGCTCTTGCCCTGGGACACCGCGATGTCCACGGCCGCCAGCGCCTCGGCCCGCGCCAGCAGCGTCTCGTCCAGGCTGGCGAAGAGGTTGCTCTGCAGCTGCAGGCGACACAAACCAAACCAAAAAAGAAAAGAAAAGGGGGGAAAAAACAACACCAAAAAAAAAAAAAAAAAGCCACGCAAAACAAACACACAAACCGGAAAGCACAGGCAAAAGGCAAACACAATGAAACCAAAACAACAACAGGGGGTGGAAGTGCGGGATAAACGGAGGAGTGGGGGGGGGACATGTTGAGAACGAGCAGGGGAACACAAGGGAGGGACAGGGCAGCAGCGAAGGGCGGAGAAGGGTAGAAGGGGACACAGGGATACATTCCGGGAAAGGGAACGGGAGACAGAAAAAAAGGACGAAAAGAAGAAAAAGAAGAAACGGAGATGTAACTCGAAGCTAAGGACCCGTGTTACACACCCGAGCGAGCATAGAGATCGCCTTGTCCAGGCGTGAAATTAACAGAGAAAGTGCAGCAAAGTCAAGAGTCATGGCCCCAGAGCTGCCCGCTGATGGCAGGCGCTGGACAGAGGCACGGGGCCGATGGAACAGGACTTGAAGCGCCCCTGGCCACACGTGCCTCACAGCGGGGTCCCTCTAAAAAAAAATAAAAAACTCCCGCCCGCCGAAGCGGGACCCGGGGCGGCCCACGGCAGCCCCCAGACATGCAGCACCTCGGAGCGGAGGAGGGGGCGTGCGCGCGGGCCGGGGCCGCGGGCGTGGGGGGCGCTTACCGGCGGCGTGGGCAGGCAGGCCCGCCGGATGGCCTCGGAGCTGGAGTGCAGCGACGGGTACTTGTGCTCAGGGAGGGTGGGATGCATGGCAAAGTGAGGCTGCTTGCTGTTCATGGACATCATCTTGACGCCTTGGCATGGAAATATCCACAAACACTCGCAAAGTCCGCCGCAAAGTGCGCACGCCGGCTCGCCCGGCCTCCCTTCCGAGGCTGCGGCCGCGGCGGCCCGGGGCGGCTCGCACTGGCCTCGCCGCGGGGCTGCTGATGCTGCTGAGGCTGCTGCTGCCACTGGTGCTGATGCTGGCCCCGCCGGCTCGCAGCCTCCGAGCCGACCGCGCAGAGCGCCCGCGCGCAGGTCTCGCGATCCCGCTCCTCCAAGAGCTCTAGCCCCGCGCGCCGACGGGCTGCGCTCCTCTTACACCTGCGCCCCACTTCTCGCGGCCGGCCCGGGGAGCTCTCGCGAGAGCTCGCGGCCCCGCCGCGCGGCGGCTGACAGGCATCAGCTGTCTCCGTCTGTCTGGCGCGCGTTCTCCCCGGCCGCGGCGCCGTGCTTTGGGCGAGCGCGCGCGCGCTCCCTCGCTAGCTCGCTCGCTCGCTCGTCGAGCCGCGAGCGACCGGCGGCGCGTGGGAGCCGCTCTTATAGTGACCACCAGCAAGGACGAGGCAGGTGATGCACCTGTAGCTGGCCAGGCATGCGCACTGCGCGCCCTCACCTTGCCACCGAGGGTCTGTAAAGATCAGAAAGGCCAGCTATTGTCTAAGGGTAGGCATCTTTTGGAGGAAGACAGAGGATGCAGGCACTCTTCTCTGTGTGTGTTTTCCTCCCACCCTGTCGCCTGTCCAGAATATATGTGCATTATTAGGCACACCTCCACGACTGGGTGCCTAACAAGCTGTTATATAATGTATACAGAGAGGCATTTGTATGTTAAATTATGCCCGCGCGTTCCTCTGTATGTGGAGAAAAATAGCAACACAGAAAGGCGATGTGGAAGATGCTGTCTTTATGCTGCAGGAACCTGTTTCTTTCATGGTTTATAAATAGGTTCTTGGAGAATAGCCGTGGCAGACAGTTGTTTGAAGCAGTCAGACGCTATTGATTTCCACGTAATTTAATTTCTCTGCATACTTTGTTGTTGTGAATATAACTGTGTCAGGCACCATCAGTGACAGTCACTTAGGAGCCACTAGGAGCATGAGCTTTCTACTCAGGAAAGGCTGTTGAAATGGAACTGTGCGTCTCTCTTATTGTGTGTCTCCTTTAACCGTGTACAAACTCACTTTTCAAAGGAGCGATAGGAGATCTGAGGCTTCTAGTCATCAAAAGGGAAAAACAGTTAACAGGGTGTAGCCGGGGATCTTTCCCTCTCCGGCGACACACACACACACACACACACACACACACACACACACACACACACACTTTTTGCTGGAAACTCCAGCAAAAGAAAATCACTTCAGAGAAAAGAGAATAAGATGTTGCAAAGATAACTTTCTTTAGCATCGTTTTGGCCCCTGGCGTCATATCTGTGCTTGCTTATATTGTTTTTCTTCCCCCGAAACAGGATGACGCTAACCTATAGGAAACTGTATAACTCAAAATGTTAATTCAAATCAGGTTGAATAAACTGGTATCTGTCTGGTCCAGTTTTTAATAATAGTGATAATAAGCCTACGAAATCAGACCTAAGAAGAAATCAATTAACCAACCTGTTATATTACTGTCATGTAGCAGGAAGATCAAGGGCCTCTCAGGGGAGCCTCAGCTCGGGTGCCTATGTCCCTAAGGACACAGTTCTTGCCTAGGGTGATAATAACGGTCCAGATGTTATCACATCTGCTAGCGAGAGAGCCTGAGAGAGGCAAGAAACTGCTTATGGGAAGCAGAGATCAGATAAATTATCTTTCTGATCACTCACACACCAAGGAGGTCTGCATTTTCACTAAAGGGCAAATCTCGCTTCTGAAAACCTAAACCTGCAGTCCAGTGGATTTTATTTTCCTTTGCTTTAAAACGTGTATGTCTTCAGGAAACCCACTCGGGCTATTCAGATTGCAAGACAAGCCCACAGGCGTCACTAGCTTTTTCTTTCTTTTCTTTCCTTTCTGTCCTCCCACCCCCTCCCTTTCTTCCAGCCTGAGAGGGAAGTGAGAAGGATGTTCATTTGCTGGCGCAAGAAGGAGCCACTTCTTCATCCATTATGTGATTCCCCAGGGAGCGCTAAATGCAACTTTATCTCAGCGGGAGTGGACCAAGAGCGGGACGACGCTGGAGGGAAAGAGTGAGGTCTATGGCCCCTGTCCCACTGGGTGTCCGGGCTTAACCTAATCCTTCCTGACACCCACTGCAGTGGGTCCTTGCGCTGGCTTGTGGGGTGTAAGACAGAATGCCTTGCCTTCTTAGTAGCAAGCTCCAGCAGTCTGAACTCCCGGGTCCTGGGGAAACGCTTGCCTCTAGGGACCTTAAATGGTGCAGGACAGACTGAAAGGCAAACAGGGTAGGTTTGTGGCCAGATGGATCCATCGGGAGGGGGCTGGAGGGCACGGTGTCCTTATCTACCCTAAGCAAACCTCAATTCACCCTTCTGACCCAGCTGGGAGGTGCAATGTTCTGAGGTCAGGGGCTAACCATCCCAAGATTACCTTCCTAAGGCACCTCTTTTGAAATTGGGGTACTTTTCTTTCTCTGAGTAAAGCCAGACTTCTGCCCTGTCCTTTTTGCTGGGACTAGAAATATAGGGACTATGGGTCCAATCCAAAGGTCATCCGTGGCTCATTTGTTTTCCACCATGACACTTGTAGCAAACAGAGATTTATCAAATAATACTTTTTCTCCCTGAGAAAAAGTCAGGAAGTGTTCAACAAACCAAGGCTGATGGGGGAATTGCAAGATCAGTGAAGGGATCTCCTTAAGAAGGCAGAGCCTGGAACAGAGTGTGCTTGCCCTAGACAGATGCACCCTGCGTGTTCTTTTCATAGTCCCCTGACCATAGTCTTCCTTCCTTAGCTCATCCCTGTCTGGGACAGTACAAGACCCTGGAGATAAAAGGAGCTGTAATTTTTGAGTGCCTGGTCTCTAGATGTTTACAGTCTGTGGGCATTGGGAAGCCACAGGAAGAGGGGGTGTGTGCTATCCGTGTGGGATTTGTGATGAGAGACTGACACAGGGAAGGGCAAAACGATGCTTGGAGAGCCATCCTGCCCAAGGCTGCACAGCCTCAGTTCCACACTACTCTGGGAGACCCCTCCCATATGTCACCGCTTTGTGTTCTTGGCTTGGCGACTGCTCTAAACAGTTGGCTTCTGCCTGTGCTAATGGTGCCTACATGAGGTCTGCACCTTGGCATGGATTCTGGGGCAATTCCCCCCACCTTCTTGTTCAATGACCAACACAAGTTACCCCTCCCTCCCCAGCTCATAGCTTTGCATTTTATCAAGAGAGGGGTAATGAATGCCCAGCTATTGATTTCCAAGGAATTTCTGCCCCCAGGGACGGGGGGTGGGGTGGTCTATCGTCTCAGTCAGAGACACATTTCTTTCCCTCATTAATTAATTTTCTCCTCCTCTCTTGGCGGCCCTGGCTTTATATTTCCGTTGGCAGCACCACGTTACAGAACTAGAGAGCACACTGGTTAGCTGGAGTGAGGACACAAGGGGGAACCAGAGCTAGGACCTGCTCAGTCTGGGGGAGAACTCTCTTCCTCTTGGCCCCACCCTTCGCCCTGTTGTCCATCTGGATGCTAGCTTTTTTTTGTTTTTTCCTTTCAAGAAATCGGACGCTGGAAACTAAGTTTCTGGTATAGCCTCTAAGTTGATGGCTGCTCTCCAGGAGGTGACAGTCTGTGAACAGGGGCACTCCACAGGAAGACGGTACTTGCAGTAACAAGTGTTGCAGGTATGGTGGGAATGACACAGGGAAGTCGAGGTCTTGCAGGGAGTTCTACCCAGACTCTGGGAGTCATGGATCTACAGGCACTGTCTAGTTTAAAATGAGACACTTTTCCAGGCTCAGCGAGGGACCAGTGTTCATGGGCAACTCAAAGGCCCAGAGCGCTAGCTTCAAAGTCCATTCAGCACTGTGTGAGAGTACAGAGAGAGGAGATAAGGGCCTAAGGTAGGGCTCTAGCGTCCTAGGGGAGGATGCACTTTGACAGCCCCATACCTCCTCACTCCAGCACTGCGATGGGGAGGATTGGCAGGTCTCAGGACCGCCTCTCCAGGGAGCTACCTGACCTCTTATAGCAGAGCTTTCTCCCTGAGCGGCTCAGCGTTGTACACCCTTTTACAGGCCCTTCCCAGGGCCCAGGGCCTTCTTTGGTATTCTGGGAGTCTGGACACCCACCGGAGCACCATCACCCGACTAGTGCTGGGGGGTAACCCCGTCATGCCTGGTCCAGGAAGTCTAGGGCACACTTGAGCCGGACACCGCCCCCCCCCCCCCCCCCCCCCCCCCCCCCCNCCGCGCGCGGCACCCCCCCCCCCCCCCCCCCCCCGCGAACTCGCGCTAGGACTCCAGGAGCCTTTCTGGGAAGCCACTGTCCTTGCTCTCTACACCCACCCCCCTCAGACCGGCGGCAGCTTGCCTTTCCTCCCTTGGTCTGACAGGTCCAGGCCTGAGAGGCAGTTGGATCTTCCAGAGCCCTTTTCCCAGACTCCTCAATCTGCATTCAGAAAGGGCAGTTGCTAGGACCAGAGGGGGGGGGGGGGGAAATTCTCAAGTAAAACAAAAACAAAAGAGTGGGAAAAGCCATGACTTCCTTTTCTCTCCACTCTCCACCCTCCCCATTTAGTTTAAATGCAACTTCCTTTGGTGGCATCTTCCTGAAGATGACCACCCCACCCAAAGATGGACTTGCGAGCAGGATTGGGCGTCCCAAGTAAGTTCATTACAGGTCACTCTGCGCTTAGCGTTGGTTATGTTATATACAGACTTGTGTCCATTTCTACCCTAATCTCTCTCACCAAATCAACCTACCTTAGGAAACCCTCCCGGAGAGACCAACCCAAGAGAACAACCCTCACCGATGCTGGGCCTCCCTGCCTGTCAGTCCACACTGTTACTTTTGCAAGCCAAATGATCACTGTTCTCCGGTTAACAAGGTCACCGGCCCCGGTGATTTA